TCTCTCAGCAAACAGTGACTTTGCTTTTTTGAGAACACAGTTGCTCTTATTACCCATTGGTCTGGTACAGCTAGAAGTGATTCCTGTAGCAGCCAAGCATGCAAGTGAAAACCAAGAGATGATCATGGTTTCACTTGGTATTTCTATGCTGGAATGAAAGCTTCGATATTGGCTTTCACCCAGAAGGAGATCTCAGATGCATGGATGATTAAAAACTTCACAAAGGAAGTCAAAGAATGAACCCCAATCAGCATGTTGATGGCAAAGATATTCTGTTAGTAGGAGATTCTCGATAGAAAGGAGAATGGAAAGAGATATTTACAGATGCTACAGCATGATTAGAGTTGCCAAGAAGGCAGAGCTGCAGAGTATGACACGAGTCAGAGGTAAAGAAGAGATCAAGGAGAGAAGTGTGTCCATCATGATCACTGGGGAAATGTGTGGGGAAGTCTACCACTTACATGAGAGAGAAGTTTGGATGTAAGCCAGGTCAATGATGGAGTAATTAAGCCAGCTGGCATGGTATGCATTGAGGTCACTGAACACAAAGATATTTTCAAATGGGTGTAGAGAGATGGCCTTAATCAAAATTGCTAGCTTGCAAAAAACTTGATAATATTATACAATATTTATTGTATTTGACTCCAAATAAAACTATATAATTTATTCAGCTTACTGCTGGCATTTCAGATTGTATGAACTTCTTATCTCCTAATTTCAGGGAATATAGTAGCAATAGGCTTGCAGTGTGGGGCAAGATTTGAGGAAATATAGTATACGCCCACCACACACACACACATGCACAAAAGCAAACTGTACACTACAAGGAACAAAATTGGAGATGTAAAAACCTTTGAAATGCAGTAGATATACTTATTGATGGGTCACAAAATATAGATAAAAAAAAAGAAGAAAAAAGATCAAAAGAGAGGTTGAGTAATACAAAAGTCATGTATTGAGATATCATTCACCCTGAAGGTTAATGTACTGTCCTTTCAACAGAAAGCTAAATGACAAAGAGGTTGTAAACATATTCAGCTTCAACTTCTTAGCATAATCATAGGAAATGTAAGACAAAGATTCCTATTGCCAAATATTATTTTCAACCAAGATATATACAATCACCTGCTTCAATTGTCCTAGAGAAGTTGAAGATATGGTAGCCAGGTTAGGAGACCAAGTGGATGCAGACATGGATAAGGGAGAGAGAGAGAGAGCAGACTGATACCACTTGGCAAAGTCACTTTTTGCTACATTTATAACTGTGGCATTGTTATAGAAATAACATCTAAAATTTGTGGGTGGCACTTGCACAGATACCATCCACAGACTAAGTAGATTCAGACAGCACCTACAATTGCTTCTGTACAATACAAAGAGCTTTATTTTAATCCATAACTATACTCAGATGCAGAGTTTTATTCTCCAGTAAGCAGTGACTAAGAAGATAGCACTAATAGAATATAGCAGGCCATTGATAAACACATCCTACAGAAAACAGAAAAAGCATGATTCCAATGATGTGTGGTCACTAAAGATTTTGGAAAGTGGGTCGAGAGGAGGCCAATTTTATCCCTTAATTTGCAAACCTCGAGAATGTTTATTTACCAATTCTGATGTTCCTCAGAACATTATTACTGCAAAAGTCTCACCATCAAGTATTTCTACACAAGTCACAACTTATTTGACAGCTTTAGTGCTCAATAAACAGATATACATTACACTGTAATATTGAACAAGAAAAATCCAAAAATGCATAAAAAGAACAACATTTTGTAAAGGAAAAACAATGGCTCTTCATTGAAAATATAAAAAAAATCTGTACTCACCCCAATAACTCAGAAAACAAAGAAAAGAAAAATAAATAAGTAAAATTTAAAAATAAAAAAGTCACTTGTGAATGCAACCTTGTAATAAGAGTAGATAAGACAGACCAGTATTTATCAAATTACCTTGTAGTTAAGAAACACAAAGAAATACTACCTAAATTCTTTTTCTACTATCTTGACATGATTCTATGGAATTCTTACCTTCTATACATAGCCGCAGATATTACTGAAAAGTAGCACTGGAAACATCCAGTCATAAAATCTAAAATACACTAACAAGATGCATTCTGTGTTCAGAAACAAGTTTAGCAGGATTGAAAGGAAAAAGAGAATCAATGCAAGTAAACCTTTGTCTTTTAATCAATTCACCTTTCATGCCATGAAGACACAAAAAAGTAATGCAAAGAAAACAAGCATCTCTACTGATAGGTTCCAAAAAAGACACACCCAGTTTTATCTAACTTGTTTTCAAAACAATTGAAGATCTAAAAATATTTTTTTAATTTCATTATGTATTTTTTTTTATTAGCACAGTAAAGTTGTCAAAATGAAGTTTTGCCAATTTTTTTTTTATTAGGTCAGTAAAGTTGCCAATTTTCTTTTATTAGGTCAGTTGTCAAAATAAATAAAATGGTTTGCCAATTTTTTGTTTTTATTAGCTCAGTAAAATTGTCAAAATAAATAATGTGGTTCACTAATTTTTTTTTATTATTATTATAGCTATCTATAGCTATAGATGACATATCTCTGGAATAGTCCCATGGTGTTTTTTTTTAGAAAGATATTGCATCAGTAAATTCATAAAATGAAAAATATTTTCCTGTAGTATGACATTAAAAAAAAGTCAAGATTAAATTTTTGCAAAACTAAAATTTTAGCTTAAAACGGTTAAATTATCAGAGTAGGAATCTAATTTAATAAATAATAAATCTTTGATTATAATTAAACCCAATAATGGTGCCAGATTGGTAGTTATAGATTACAATGGTTATGCCAAAAAGATGATGTTGATTTTAAGTGATGTGGACATTTATAAGATTAGGGCTGGACAAAAACACATGATAGGACAAATTTAATTGAGTTGAATTTTCAAAAGTATTTATTCAGACTGGTTAAAAATGAAGTCCTTCTGACTGATGTTTGCAAAGCTTGTTGACCAATTGGTTCCATATGACCATCATTGTATGGCTTACCCAAAAGTCAAAGATAATTTTCTTTTGCATCTGATTTTATCTATGGTAAGATCAGTGCAGCACAAGTTGGCAAAGTGATTGACTGTGTTGTTGCAACCTGTGGTGGAATGTTATACAAGTAAGTGTATTAAAGACTCGTTTAACATGTGAGCAACAACAAAGTTTTAGGGAAACAGAAAGGACACTTATAGTTATCATAAAGAGCCAGTTGAAAATTTTAGGATACATAATGATGAAAGAGGGCTTGGAAAATTTGGCATTCGTAAGACAGATTGAAGGCAAGAGTGACATAGGAAAACAGCAGATAACCTACCTAACAAGGTTGTGTAAATGGATGGTAGAACAGGGTTTAGGGGAGATAAGAAAGAAACAAAATTTACTAAGAGCTATAAAGGATAAGAAATTGTGTAGAGCCATGATCACCAACACCCTGAAGGGATAAAGCAGATAGAAGAAGAATCGATAAATATACACAATAGTGAGAAGTCCTTTAAAAATGATAACGGCAAATATATTTGTTGCCCCCACTTTTTTTTTCTTTTTTCAAACAAGATTTACTTGCATGCACTAGAGGAGATATTAGATATGTGGACAACATTTTGTGTTTGACAATGATGATGAGGCTAGGGTTTGTCATTAAGCAGCAGTTTCATGCATTACACCCGTTGTCGCATTTCACATGTTAAAAGTTCACAATGTTCACAATGGCAGTTTTCCTATTCTTGGTCATAGTGCACAGATTAGATTCAGGATTTCATACATCAGTGTACCAGAAACAAACTTTTATGAGTTTATATACACAGTTGAATTACTTTTGTTCTAAACAAAAAGTCAACTTCAGTAAAACTTTTGATTCATCAGGCCTTAGTAATGTTCTATAAATAAATTATATGCTGAAATTGAATTTATTAGGAAGGTTCTAAGCAAAAATGTATACATTTGGGTATTGTAGAATCTAGCATTCAGGAAAAATGCAACAATTTTGTAAGCATATTCAATTCAGTAATTTACCAATCTAGATGTCAGTGTGATGTTGACTATGTAAGCGAATCAACTAACATGTGCCAATTAATATTTGCAAGGTGAACAATTTACATATGTGCATAAATGTAACAGGTTCAGTGATAACTAAACATCTGATTAAAAGTTAAAAGTGTGGCCAGTCTTATAGTCTAGACATGTTCTCAGTGCTGAGCAGAGCTAATTTCAAGTATCAGTTTTGGAATCTGTGTATATTAAGTCCTACCAGCCATGTTTCTGTAAGTAGGAGGCGTGGTTAGTTGGCTTAAAGATAATTAGCCTTTAAACATCAAATTTTTTTGCATATAACATTTGTTTTGCGTGTGATTTTGTTTTTAGTTGTTGTGCAAATTTTGCCTGATCTTTGCTCTGATGAGAAAAGACCAGTGAACCAGTTTAGATGTCTTTTTTATCAGTTATTACCATTTTTACAGTAATATATATATATTTATTTTTACTCCTCTTTTTTCTGTTATGACTTGCTTCCTTTTTGTTATGAATTGTCTTTTAATATGTCCATTTTTATTACACTAATAAAATTGTGTACCCCTGTGAAAATAATTTAAGTATATTAATTAAAAATGATAATACTACTAAAAATAAAAATATGAAAAATATATATTTATCAATTATACAAGGATTAAAGCATTTGTAACACAAAAATAATTCTTTTGTTCACTATATGATAAAAAAGAAAATTAATACAGAAAATAAAAAATATAATATAGTTAACCTATTTTGCCACACAACAAATGAGATTTTAAACCTTTTCCTTCCAAGAAGAGAAGGAAATAGCAATCATTTATAGATACGCTAACAAGATTGCAAATTCTTAAAGAAACCACTCTCAGAAGCTTAGCTTTCATGCCATTTTTAGTGAACACAGTGAGAGATCTGTCTCATTACCACAAATTAGACTTGTTCATTTTGAAAAGTCCTTAAAAAAAAAATAACTTACTGATGAAATAAACGTGAGACCATTTGGTAAAGTATGCAAATCTTCAGCTCCATTTTCTGAAATAACATAAGAAAATTAGCACTAATTATTTTTTAATCCTTAAAGAGAATATTTTGTACACCTCATTTTCAGTATCTAAAAATATCGGATTAAACTTATTGAATTTAATTATGACATTAACCTTATGTAACGTTCTTAATAAATGATTTTTCATTCATTTTGTGGAATAAAATATCACATTTGCTCCTATTTCATGTTATTTTTAACAGCAAAAATTCAACATATTTTTTAAATACGTTTTAGAAGAAAAACACAAATTACTCATAAAAATTTAAATTTTATCAATATATTTGTTATGAATAACATGATAGAAAAAATATTCAATTAACTTTATATTAAACAAATAATAGTATTAAGTAAATTTTCCAGTGTAAAAACAGAATTGATGAAAAGTCCCCAGCTGAAAAATCTGTTACAAATTAAACATAACAAAATATTATTAACTTTCTTGGAAGTTTCTTGGAGTTTTTCTCACATTTGTAATAAGAAAGATGAGAAAAAAGTAAAAATAAATCAGATTAATTTTCTTTAAATCAAGTAAAATTAAAATCTTACATTTTGCTATAAGAAGTAGGGTTCAACATACATTTTTTTTTTTTTACAAACAGAAATACAAGTTATGCATAAATAAAGTTGATCATTAATGTATTTGCTTTTATAAATAAAAATTTCATTGAGAAGAATATTAAATTAATAAAAAATGTTAAGTAACAAGACCAAATTTTCTTTTGCACAAAAAATGTTTGTTTATTTGTAATGAAAACATAGAACAGAGAAAATCCGAAATAAATATTTTACTTACTTCAATTAAATAAGCTAAAAGTACTCCAAATTTAAAAAGCAAAAATTTCTTAATGCAAACTACAAGCTCAGAACAAAATACAAAATCTTCACTCCCAGTGGAATGGCAAGATTTGAGATGCACCTGAAGTTCTCAGACAAGACATGTACATTGAAATGGCATTAAATAAAGCTAGCCATGACTTTGATACATGAATCACTATGATGTCTGAGTGCCTCACAATTTAATTTGGTGGGGGGGGGGGATCGGGAAATTAATGGACTGCACTTCCATTGGCAATTCTCTGCTCAAATGCAAAAAGATTAATCACTTTTGAAAAGAACTATAATGATGAAAAATAAACTGTTTACAACAATGTGGAGCAGAAAAGGTGCTGGGTAAAATGAAGTCAGCTATTATTAACAACTCCACAGGTTTGCATCCAGAGATGGTGGTGATGCGTATCTGATGAGATTGGAAGTGTATTGTGGATCATGTATTCTTCCACAAAATTGGACATTGAATTTAAACTAATAATGTTCCTAGCTGGACAAATTAAAAGGTAATAATTGAGAAAATGCCCTCAATTGGCCAATCAAAAGAGTGTTGTCTTCCATCAAGACAACATCACATATCTCTTTGCAGACCTGGTAGATGTTTGATTCAGTTTGTCCTACACCCACTGTACTCACAAGAACTTGCCTCTTCAGATTGCCATTTATTTCAATCCCTTCAAAATTCTCTTAAACTTCACTTCTCTGGAAGCTTGTAAAAACACTTAGGCCAGCTCATGACACAGAAGATGCCAAGATCTTGGCAGATGGACTCATGATGCTGCATCAAAGATATTGAAAAGTAGTGGAATAAAATAGCATGATTAAATAAATTTATGTACTAATATCTAAATATTGTCTTTGAATTCCGCTTAATAAAAGTTACTTTTATTCTAACCCAATAAATAATTGAAATGTATTTATTCTTTTGACACTTTGAATAAAAGGGGTGGTTGGAATAATTGAAGGGAGGAAATTTTTCAAAATCTAATATGCAGTGAGAACAGAAAAATCTGAAAAAAAAATTTAAATTTTTCTTGAAGGTTTCTAAAATGTGATAGAGGATAAAAGCTGAGAGTGGAATTGTTTTTTTAAAAATTAAAGTAGCTGGTATGCAGATACAATTATTACAAACCTGACTATAACAAAAATGTAGATGAAGCAATTAAAACATTTAGTAAACTGTGGTTGCCTTAAATGGCTGAAGCAATTAAAAGTGATCCCAGCATTGTCTATAAATAGACAAGGCATTATAAAGAATTAAATAAAATATTTTACAAGAAAGATCAGCTGTGTATAAAACCAATTCAACCAAAATTTATATTTCATAGAACAACTACTAATTATAGGAGTAGTTTGATTTTTAATGAATGATCCCAAAGTTTAATTTTCTTACTAGGTTGCAGTCAAGGATAATTTTAATCTTATATACAAGTGGGGGATTTGTTATTTTAAATTCTATTTAAGTCCCAAAAATCCTCAATCAAAAGTCTGAAATGTATAATGCAGTCAGTATTAAAGATAGTACAGTAGTAAGAACTCACCTACACCAGGGACATATTTACAAGGACCAGGACTATGGTTGTGTATGGTCCCTTTGAACAGAAACATTGATCTGAAAAGAAAAGAAAAGAAAACTTTATTAGTCACAGATCTAAATCCAATCTTTCATTTTTCAGTTAAAAAAGAACAAATAATAGAATACACACACCTTATGGGTGATTCATTCAACAGGGTGACTACTTTTTTACAATTATTTTGATCAGTAAGCAAATGTGATACCACTTCTTGAAGTTTAAAGATTTGAAACAGCTTCATAACATTTACTATTTTCAAAATAAAACTGATTATTCATTTATTAAAAGAAACAAATTATTCCCCCCCCCCGCATTTAATTGCTTTAGAAATTTCAATGCAATTAGGTTGACATTTATCCATTTTAAAAATCCAAGTTTTTGAGAAAATAAACAGGATCATGATACCAATATTCCTGTCAAACCAATATACTTCCTTCACTCCCCATAAATTGTAATACACAATTCTTAGAAATAAGGCTATATTGCTTGGTTACAGAGAGACTTTAAGGCTAAATCATCTTTTTCAATCTATAAATACTCTCACTTCTACATTTTTAAATTTACAAAAATATCTTTGGCAATTACATATTCAGTTCATTGTGTGAAATGTACAGACATTGTTTCATAGCTGAAATGTCCCTAAAAATAAAGCATATTTATTTTCACCAGTTTTAGCTTTTTGTTTAAATTTTGATTAATTTAAATAAAAACTACTTGGAAAGGAGAAGGATCCCAACAAGTAATCCCATCTAAGATGGCCCATGAAGGACCCAGTTATGATATGCTGACAATCATATCAAGGTAACATTGAGCATTGTTATAGCAGCCAGGATCTCATAACATTTTGAAACAATTACAAGCAGTTTTGAAAAATAAACAACACAATCATTCTATCAGTTAGGTGTATTATATGCTGAAAGAAAAAATAGTCATAACATACTTACACTAGACTAAAAATGTGCTGCATGCAAAGAGCACTAAGGCTGAGCAAAACTATCTTCAAATACATCTTGGCTGTTATGATGGATTGCACTCTGCAAAGACCTGTTTATAAAAGTAAAAAATAAAAAAGATAAAAAAAAAACAAGCTAAAAGATAAGGAAATTATAAGAACACTTTATAAACCCCAAAGGTCTACAATTGCAACCAGATTAGCAATGAAGGCCATAGATAATCAAGTTAATCTTAAAAACAATCCAAAGTTTGTTTTTTTTTTTGTTTTGTATTTTAAAGCAAATATAATAAATTAGCAATTTGAAAGCTGGAATATTGGATTGGATGTATGAATATTATTACACTTTTAGTTTTCAGTATATTATGGTATCAAAAACATTTTTTCTAAGCCACTAATAAAAATCGCAATACAATACAAACAATAGAGAAAACAATAAAGAAAACTATTTTTTCTTTTGATGACCCATAAAAAAACCTTTTTTTATGGGTCAGCAAAAGAAAAAATAGTTTTCTTACAAATTTGAGTAGAAAGGTATATTTTTCCATATACAAAAAAAAAGTATCTGGAGAAATATATGCCTTTCTACTCAAACACTCTACTCTATTTTCATAAATAAATAAATACAACAAATATTTGCATTCATTTTTTGGGGTACATACTTCTTTAAGAATCAGTCGACTCGTTAGGATTTATCCACTCACAAAAAAATATTTCAAAATTTTAGTTACTTCAATGACAGTTATCAGAAGACTTCGATAAAAAAATCAATAGCTAAAAAATTAAAAATCGAACATTGTAATGAATTCATATTTATTTATTTATCTATTGTAACTTACTGATATGCCTCAATTCAGTATTTTAGGTCGCGAGAGAAAATAGCTCAGATATGAGGATCAAGTGACGACATTTGATCAGTAACAAAGTATAAATTTATCGAATTATTATCGATTTTTTTAAAAATTTAGTATTGCTCAATCATTTTCATTTTGCAGATGGTTGCAGAATGGAAAATTGTGTTAGAATTTATTTAACGTAACCTGTCAGATCTAGCAAAGGAAAAATAAAATGTATAAATAAATTGAGAGGGCAAAGTCTACGTTCGTTACTGAATTATCTACCGCAGAAGAAAATAGTAATAGTTTGATTAACATTTCACAAATATTTTTCTTTCCAAATAAAATACAAATTTAATCCAAAGTTAATATCAAACATCAAATATCTTTTTCATGCGTAAAACAACAAAAAAAAATGATTTTGTTTGATTTTTGAAGGATTTGTAACTGAATACCTTTGTTGTATGCAAGTGGATTTTAAGATATTTTTTAAAATCCAGACTCAAGGAAAATGTTTTAAAGGCTTTCAAGAACTACGAAATTGAATTTAACTTAACTACCCCATCAGAATAAAACTGAGCAATATTTATTTACAATAAAAAGCACATATTCATAACGATCAAGTTTTTTTTTAGTCAACAAAAAGGTTAACGGAACTTTAGCAAATTCAGTCAATAATGACAAAATTAGAAACGATATTCATGAAATATACTAAGATCAAATTTAAAATAAACCGCAGTTAACTTAAGTTTTAAATAAACCTCAAATTCAAGAATATCTAAATATTCAAAATTTCTTCGAATGTCATATCACCTACCTTCCGCAGTTCAGCCATGTGTGTAGCGGTGTTGATACACCTTATACTACGGAGGCCCAATGGAAACATAATTACCCTAGGTTTTCGTATTTTCGTAAGATAGAGTAAAAACAAATTTTCCTTAATTACAGCAAAACTTCAAGTCAGGTGATATAACTTATTTGATCACTCTGAAGGAAAGTTGGAAATAATAAATTGATAATATAATTTTATCGCGAGAAAAATTATAAAAAAGGAGAGTAAAAATTTTTTTTTAATTATTCGCGAAAAATATGAACGTTGACATTTGATTTTATTTTTAAAAATCAATCTTTGTGGTGGCACTTTCATTTTTTTTATTTATCATAGATATAGATCTTTGATTTATTTAATTTTTCGGACGCTGTTGCTTTGTTAGTGTTTTGTCAAATAAGAGCGATTTTCTTTATTGATGACCGGAATATAGTTTTTTTTTTAATATGGATTTTTCTCAAACACATGACTGCGAAATCTTTTCTCATAGTTACAAATCAAGTATAAAGTTTTCTATAATCTACTCGAAAAAGTCTTCTGAATCTATTTAATTTCCTGAGTTTAGTCGTTTTTGAAAAAAGTTAAACCTGAATAAATTACCAACTTATAAGCACGCACATACCGACACACACGTGTATTTAGTTTGACATAAAACAAATATGATAGTAATGGAGTAGAAAGGGTGTATTGCACCAGTTTTTCTAATGGAAATGGTCTGTCTACTTCCAAAAATCAAGATTTAGACTGGCCTTTAAACTTAAACACGGGAGAGCTAATCTGGTGGAGCTACGGTACTGCTGAATAGTGAGTAATCAGTTGATGGCCTATACCTGATGCCTTACCGAACAAAGCTAAGGCCATTAAAAAAAAAAAAAAAAGCTAAAAACGAATGCCGATAGTTCATTGTAAATTTCTGCAAATGAGGTAAGCATCTCAGTCATACAACTTTGACAAATGAGCAACTTCTGTACCCCATCTTGGTGTAATGGTCAGTAAGTTGTAGATTATTAGTAGTGACTTCGACCTTGACTGGGTGCCACATTCTTGTGGTCTTGTGCTAAAAAAAACTAAGCTTAGAAAAAAAACTGTCTTTCTGATTTAATCAGATCAGACGAGATGCTAATGGTGATTATGTGTGTGTGTGTGTGGTCATCAACAGATTGTTTCGCTGTATCACAGATGTCCGATTACTTCAAGATCGAAACTCGACTGATCTGACAAGAGTCAGATATCTTATCTATAGACCATCGTCGCACGGCAGAAAGGAAGGGAATTTTAACCTTTTTCTCTATATGAAATACGTCAGCGGCTGGGAGAACTCAATTCAATTTTACTTGAAGACTAATGCTTAATATATATATATATGAGAGTGAGAGTGCCCTCAAGAAGTTTTGAGACTTATTTTTCTTTTCAGGCACTTTTAATTAACCTACGTAATTGTGTCCCCCCCTCTAATACATCCTTGGTATGGTTAAAATAAAGCTAATATGCCAAATTGTTTTTTTCCAGTTAAAAGTTCGAGCCGCTACATCATTTTAAACACTACCCGTCATGTTACAGCTGACTAGTTCCACAATGCAGTCGGGAGGTGAAGTCAACCTGGAGGTAAGATATACGATAAAGTTTTGTCATGCTCGGCAAACCACTGCAGAAACCTATGAAATGGTCAAAACTGTTTACGGACTAGCTTTCTTGTGCCAGGCGACTGTTTTCCGCAAGCACAAGAGTTTTCAGGAGCGGGGTGTCGAGCAGGTGAGGTACGGCGAGAGGTGTGGCAGGGAGAAGGACATCAGAACGCCAAAGTTGGCATCTGTACCAGGACAATGCCCTCCTGCCGACAAACTACTTGGTCGATATAAGGATTACGTATATCACTCATCTTTCCTACAATCCAAACTTAGCCCCTATACGCCTTGTGAAAGTTCCCAAAACTAAAGGAGAAGCTCAGGGGTATCTGCTTTGAGGATGTGGAGGAGGTGAAAAAGGCTGTTTTGACAAGCGTTCTGGACACCTTCACTTTGGTGGACTACAAGATTAGGGCCGTAGCAGCTGAGGCGGCGGTTTGGCCCCCAAACAATTTTTAATTGTAGTAATTTTGACAGTATTTTATTTTAACAAAATACAATAAAGAAATACAAGAAAGAAAAACTATCAAAGCAAGGAAGAATATAACTTTCATAAAACACCGATGAAAGAAGTTCTTTCATTTGTAACACAGATGGTTATAGGATCAAGATCATATATCATTCATAAAAAACCAAATCACAGACTTCAAATTTAATTACACAACAACGCATTCTGATTGGCTGAAAAATATCAATTAGGTATCGTCAACTACGTCCGAATGTACCGACCCAATTTTTGATCCAAGCAAAAATACATTTGCACCTAAATTTTGCGCCTACCACGTGACCATATTGTGTATATTAACGACACAAAATTCTAGCGAGGTAAAAAGGATTCCTAACGAACGATCATGTAAGTGCCAATTTTTGCCTAATATAGACAAGGTGGAAGATGCCGCAGTGGCAAAGGGCAAAACGGGAATCTCGACAGTGGATGTTATTGTACATGTTACATTAACGAGGAAATGTTTAATGAAATCCCCGATATCCTGATTTGTGGGGGAAAATGGATTTTTGTAGTGAACCAGGGTCGGCGGCCCCACTGCTGGTCCTGTGGTACCGCAACGACCGGTAGCTAAAAAGACAACAGCCCAAAAGCCAGCAGTCCAACAACAGGCAGCAGCGAAGGAAGCTGTAGGTCAGGCCCCTAATGAGGCCATTGAGTGAGAGCAAGTGACCAGGAAGGGGCGCAAAGCAGCAACCCCAGGATGTCTCACCAGGGCGAAAACAACAGAGCTCGAAGAAGGAGAAGCCTTCTCAACAACAACAACAAGAGACGCAGCAACAGGCCCGACAGCATCATCAAACAGAGCAACATCAACAGGCACAGGAGTGCCAACAGACAAAGACACAACAACAGACGCAGCAACAATAGACACAGTCGAGAGAACAACGTCACCAACAACCAGAGGAATAAGTGAAAATGCAGCCTGAAAACCGACTACTAGAAATAGGTATGAAGGTGGAGGTCACGCGTCCACCTAGATCTTCTTTGAAAAGGAACAGGGACGATGAGGAGGAAGATGACAAAGTTTTGAAAAAAAGAAAAAAGTGGGGAAAGACCTAGACATTACCCCAGGCCCCATTCGGTTCCCTCCTTGCCAACTAAAGAAAAAGACATTGAGAAACATAGGGCTATGAGCTTTCCCCCTTTAGAGTTTCACAATCTCCTTCCCCCATAGCATCCCCCGATCCAGTTGAAAAGAAAAAATTCCACACAAGAAAAAGAAATCTTTCCCCAGGGGGATGAATAGTTGCCACGTGGACAGAAAGGACCTAAAACGGGACCTCTCAGTGCAAAAGAAAGCTCTACTAAGAACGCTAATGAAAGTCTACGGAGGACCCCCGAAACTTTCCTAATGCTTCTGGTGTGACGGCGCTTATCAGGAACACGGGGGAAGGAGAATTTAAAAGTTTGGTATCACTGTCCGAAGCCAGGGACGCGTTCCCTAATATTAAAATGGTTCAACTTAATACTCCAGAACTACGTAAAATGTCACAAATGTGCGCAGGGAGGGTCCCCGTTATTCTCCATCCTTGTTTTTATAGGGCCCTAAAATTAATCTACTCTACAGACGTCGGCATTGTCTTGGGGTGACGAATTACGTCCTACATCAGCACCGGAAGTCTGGCATAAGCCGTCGTGATTCTTACCCCAGCAGATTTCCGCCCGGTATGTGAGTAGGTTTGTTTTTTCATGTTTCTCTCATTTTCAGACCTAAAAATGTCTATTAAGACAGCCAGCCTGAATGCGAATGGCTTGAGGGTAAGGCGGCCCACCTGCTTCGTGACCTCTTGTCGTTCGGTGTGGATGTTGCCGCGATCCAAGAAACCCACTTTGTTTGCAACGTCGATGAGCGTGTGCTGTCAAACGACTTAGTTATCTATTCAGCATACGAGAACCGACTGCCCAGAAGCCGATATTTCTGCGAAAAGTGGTTCGTTTCGGATCATTGCGGTTTATGCGCCGAATGACCGGAAGAGGCGCGTCTCGTTTTCTCAGCGGCTGGGGCCGCTCCTGGTGGATTCAACACGCCTAGTCTTAATGGGGGATTGGACTTCCTAGTTAGACAGCGGGCGGGGAGTTAGCGGGAGGTCGGGCGATCATAGCCTGGTCGGCTTGATCGGCAAGTTTGGTCTCGTAGATAGATACCGGGTCGATCACCCAAAGGGGGAAATGTGGACGTAAGCACAGAAGTGGCCTTCTACCTGTGTGGCTAGCTACCTGCATATAATGTTAATCAGAAGGGCCGATGTAGATCTGTTAGATTGTCCTACGTTCCACTGAATTCTACGAAATTAACTTTTACAACACAATTATGACGAAAACAATCTTTTAAAGTACAAGACATCAGACTATAGAAAATATGGTTTATATATTTGAGAAAAATAATGGACCCACAAACAAACAAAGCTTAATACATTATGACGAAATAAAAACATCTTTAACTGCTTCAATATCAATAAAATACTCCACAAGACGAATTTTGTTTTTAGTTTTTTTTATTGAAAAAATTATGAAAGTATTGTGACACCACAAGAAAATATATTGTAATAGGTTATTATACAAGTTAAACAAGGAAGCAAAAAAGATTCAATTTTATTTGTTCTGGCTCATGGCGCCCCACGTAAATGATACCCGTGGTACTCACCTAACTTGCTATACCTACTTATCACCTATCATGTTATCGTTAAACTTTCCATGTTTAGAGCATATAACTTTTCAATTGTACCAGACTTAGGGATTGAACTCACAACGGCAAGATGTTTTAACAAATGGAAACGAAGTGGACTGGTTGGAGTCTTGACACGCACACATTACATAGATAGATAGATAGATAGATAGATAGATAGATAGATATAAGTATAGAATTGGTGTATACGGAATAAATTCCAATAACCAAAAAATACTATCCTTAAAATAGTGCTCAATACAGAGTAGAGAAAATATAATTTATTCGAAAATTATAACATAAATATGTTATAAAATCACTACAAAAATAGCCATTTTGTTTCAACACTTCTGGTGTCTTATCAAGTGATTCAGCACCATCACTTGATAAGACACCAGAAAATATGCAATGATAACAGCAAAATTTGCAATATGAGCACTAGTAAAAATGATGCTGAAGACATTAGGTTTATAATACCCAGAAATTCATACACAGATGTCCTCAAGGACACATGACACAGTGGATAAAGGCGTTAGTTAGATCCAGTGACAGGACCCAAGTGTGTGAGTTCAATAAAGCAAAGTAAAAGGTTCAGTTTGACATTCCAACCACCTGAAGAAGGCCGGAGCGTACAACGGCTGAAACGTTGTGATAAACATGGCAATAAATATGATAGTCCGAACAATATAAATAGTGTACATAATACCTCATCTCAGAAATATAGACAGATACAGAATACATGATTGCCAGCAAATGGAACAACCCAACAAGTACAACAATTTAAATATCTGGGAAAGGTTTTAACAGAAGATGGAATGTGCTATACTGAAATCCGAAGGCACATTGGGATTGTGAAAGTGTCTTCCAAAAGAAACAAAAAACAAAACAAAAAAAGAGTACTGAACTGTTATGTAATATCAGTCGTACTATGAATGTTGGGTCATCTTGCCGCAGATGAAGAGACATGAAGCAACAGAAATGCAGTCCTACAGAAGAATGCTGAGAATACCATGTATTGAAAATGTGAGCAACGACAAAGATTTAGAGAAAATGGAAACAAAAAGGACGCTTATACTTATGAGAAAGAGGCAGTTGAAACTTTTAGGGCACATGATGATGAAAGAGGGCTTTCTCACAGGACAGGTGGAAGCTCACAAGGACAGAGGAAAGCAATGCACAGTGAGAGCTTGAGTAATGGATGGTTGAGCAGAGTTTGGGAAAGATATCAAAAAAGACAAAAGTTATTAAGAGCTAAAAAGGATAAGAAATTGTGGAGAGCCATGATCGCTAACGTCCTGAGGGATACGGCACATAGAAGAAATTAATATCAAGAGAGTGAAAGCCTGCATCTACCCTACCCACAACTTTCGGTCTTGTGCCACAATTTTGTGCTATTTTCATAAGAAAATAAATCTTATTCTTTTTTCAAAGTCGGTGTGCGATTGGGACCGAGACTGGGGATAGTTAAAGAGAAGTGTTGTAGCATACCTACGATAATGGGTATGTCCCTATTCACATAAATACAGTAGTAAATACTGTATATTGGTCTGCAGTCGGAGATTCAGCCAGCGTTGAAGTCCTTACCAGATCTGATACGACCGTCTTTACTGACAACGCTAGGAAATTCGTTTTTGTTCTACAAACTCCGTTTTAGTTAAGTTCTGATTTATTTCTGATTTATTTGACTTTTTACGTTCTGTTTTTTTTTCTTCTCTTTTTTCTTTTCTTTTTCAGTTTATTACATTCCCATTTCTATTTTTCCTTTTATTTTGTATTTATTCTTCTATTATTAGTTTTTATTTTTACTGTTAAGTCTATTTTTTAAGTTATTTTTTCGTTTTTGATTTTCTATATCCCCCTCCAAAGCCAAAATCACCAAAACCGACAAAAGCAGCGGAAGATGAAAAAACTAAAGACGAAAATGTAGTGGTCGGAGAGATGCCTTCCTGCTGGATGTCCCCACCTAAGTGTTTAATCAGCATCACGAGAAAGCCAAAAGTTACGCACATCTGGTGACAGCAGATGGACTTTTGGTTAATCCCGAGAAATTAAAGTTGAAAAAAGAATTGTGCCAGTCTTTGTGGTGGACAAGCGTTCGCACAAAAATTTGTCGCTCCACAAAAGACACCGTAATTGAATCACTAATTTCTCTGGGGATCAAATCCCAGAGGGTGGTCAAAGGAAAGGGTTTTTCATGTGGGACGTACTACTACCCACGCCTGCCGACTGTGAAGCCGCATCCAGTCAGGATCTCATAACTAAAGACCTCATTCTGCGTACAGAATATGAAGGAAGGCAGAGGACCATGTATCAGTATTTGAGGTTTCTCCTCAGATTGTCAGTGAGCACTTGGCCCCATATCTGTGCCAATTTGCTCAGATACTCAGAGCTTCCTCTGACGATTTGACCGGGGTATGGAGTTTCGAAGTCATGATAGACCGGAAAGTCTTCATCTCCATCCACAATTGTCTGGGAGTAGCGTGTCAGAAGGTGCCAGTTATAGTCACCTGGCGTAGACCGACATGCTAGAAGTGTGGACTGACTGGTCACCTGTCCTCTTCCTGCACAGAACCCTCTGAGATTCTGGCCCCTGTCGACCCAAATCCCCCTGCGACCGAATCTGTTACATCCGTCCCGCCTTTAATGGGCATGTCAGCGATCGGGACCGGTGTGGTTAAACACCCAGTTGATTTTGTCTCTATGCCCCTATTTCCTAAAAAGGCTTTGCCCGCCGCTGGTGCTGTTGCGCAGAAGGGAGAAACGGAATGACAGGTCGTTGGTAAAGTCAAAGGGAAGCTCCGGGCAGTGGACCTTGTTCCACTGAAGTCCCCACGGCTAAAGACACGCACAGCCCCACTAAGTTCTAAGGGCAACTCTTCGACCACCTACAGCGACTAAGATACGAGCCCTCTTTCGAAAAAAAGGAGAAATTAGAAAAGTTAAAGGAATCCTTAAATCATCATCCTGCAAGAATTATAAGACAATCTACAACAGCTCCGTCGTCTCCATCCTCTAAACAGTCCCCTATGGCTCCACCCCTAGTTTTGCAAACAATAATCCTGACCCCTTCCATATTGACTCCATTGAAAAAAATTCTCTTTCTAAACCCACCCCGTCCATAACTCTTAATCCATCCCCTATTAAAACACCCAACAATTCACCACTGAAAACTGAAACAAAAGCAACAATGCAACAAAGAAAAAAAAGTAAAACATGAATTACTTTTCAATAAGGGGGAAAGATGTGTGTCGGGTGAAAAAACAACAATCCAACAAAGCATTTTCCCTAATCCCGGAAAGCAAAAGACCTGAAAATACTTTTAAACTTAAAAACAATAAAAAAATTTTCCCAAGGCTAAAAGAATATTAACTGTTGTAAGAGCGGGACATGGCTCAGAAAACATCTGCGCCATGTTACGTGTAATTAACAGTTTTTTCGATCTTTATCCTCCGTTAGCATACTTTCATAAAGAAAACGAGAAAAAACTAAATCAACTCTGTTCAGGGAGGCTCCCGCTTTTCGTTCACCCCTCCCTATACAGAGCTCTTAAGCTAACTTTTCCCCTGGACATTGGCGGCCTGTCTCCTGATGGCACCATCAAAAATAAGATGGGTACTGGCTCCATGGGAGAGGCCGTCGGAATCCTAACCTCGGCTATGTTCAATGCAGGAGAGCAACCCTAATTGGTTTCCATTATGGCTCTCTGGTTAGCAAGTATAAATACCCGAGGCCTGAGGTCGGAATCTCGCAGCGCCTCGGGGTGAATGTTTGTTGTGTGCAGGAGACCCGGTTTTCTACTCATGACCATGAGAGGGTTCTTCCACTATTCAGCATGTTTTGATGGTCGCTCGGGAGGTGTCTCTTGGCTAGTGAGCAAGTCTTTGAAGGCTGCGTGTACTCTTGTCTTCGCAGATCCGGCGGTCAGGCTTTGCGTGCTGGATGTTACCATAAAGGATACGGCTCTTCGACTCATTGGGGTTATAAGCATTTTGAGCGGCCTGCTTTTTTTCGGCAGATCGAGCCGTTTTTGACGACATCTCGTTGGGTAGTTTTAGTTGGGGATTGGAATTCCGTCCTTGACCCTGCCATAGATCGTAGTGGGCCAAATTCGGGCACTGACAACCGAGATGTGAAACCATTCCGAGACTTTATCGACAAGTTTGATCTTGTCAGTAACTACCGGAATGAGCACCCTCGTGAGGTAGTTTGAACTTGGACAAATAGTGGCGGATCAGCTGCAGTGATGCTTTCTAGTTACCTCGACCGAGTCTTAGTTAGGAAAGTCGATGTAGGGCTCTTAGAGTGTCCAAGTTTCCATTACATAGTTTATACGGATCTTAGGCTTGTCCGGGTCCGTGTAAACTTAGATAAGCCTAAGGTAAAGATGGCTGGCTACTGCAAATTAAACTGCTCATTATTTGGTGAGCAGGATTTCCGAGACCAGCTGCTACTAACGATACAGAGGGAATTGACAGGGCTGTGGTTGGGAATGCCTGGTGGGACAAATTAAAAGAAAAAATTAGAACGTTTGCTGCTGATTTTAGCCGTCGACTCAATCTAGATAGATTAGCGGCGCAAACGGCTTGAGACAAAAAGTCGATCAGGCAGTTAAATCCCATGATAGCTAAGGTAGGGTTGTCCTCCTTGCTTAGCAAGAAGGATCAAGCTCTGGTAGTTAGGGCTAGGTTAAAAAGAATGTCCTCTGAGGCGGCGAATATGGCCGCGCACAGAGGAGAATTGGAGCGCGTCTCGGCGACATATCGCGTGCGTCACATTGCCGGACAAGCGGACCGTGACTACAAACGCGGGCATATGTGAGGCTTTTCGGGACTACTTTCAGGAACCTTTCATCAGGCAGCCCGGTCTGAGCCCTGCTCAGTTCGAAGCCTATTTAGCCGACTTTCGCTACCTTGAGGCAGCTGAAGCGGCTGGGTTCGAGGGTCCCATCACAGAGTCGAAAATCTGGGAAGCGCTGAAGCAGGTTGGCCTGGATAAATCTCCGGCACTAGATGGTCTTCCCTACGAAGTTTATTTGAGGCAGTCGCCCATTTTTGTTCCTTTGCTGGAACTGATTTACAACAACTGGATGAAGCAGGGGTCTATACCTCAACGCTTCACCAGGGGTGTAATCAAGTTGCTGCGCAAGGACAAGAACGGTGGAGATGGGTTAGGTAACTTTCGCCCTTTAACCATGTTAAATACAGAGTTAAAGATTTTGGCAAAGATCTTAGCCAACCGTTTGCAGCTTGTTCTGTCTCGTCTGATTGGCTCTGAATAGACTTGTGCTGTGAAGGGCAGGACTATTCAGGACAACCTTCGTATGGTACGCTTCATCTTAGAACAAGTCGACAGTGAAGCCGGGCTGATCAATTTAGATCAGTCCAAGGCCTTCGATAGGGTTGACTATCGATTCCTGGAGGCTGTCCTTTCGGCGGCCAGTTTCGGGCCGGACTTTCGCACCTGGATCCGACTTCTGTATGCGTCTCCCGGTGCGCTGGTGGAAGTGAATGGGGTAAGATCGGAGCCTTTCGTATTGTCTCGCTCCATTCGTCAAGGTTGTCCGCTTTTGCCTTTGCTTTACGTTCTTGCGTTGAAACCTTTCCTTCACAAGTTAAAGGCGATTCCGGTCCTGCGCGGAATTTCCCTACCTGGTGCTACCACCTCGGCCAGGTATTCTGCCTATGCTGATGAGGCAAGACTGACGAAGTCAGCAAAGAAATCAGTGGTTATGAGATGGTGACAGGGGCCAAGATCAACCACGATAAATCTGTTGGCTTGCGGTTGGGTGCGTGGAAGGGAGTTTCTCTTCTCGGACCTTTCCTCTGGATGAATGGGCCGGTCAAGATACTCGGCGACTGGTTCTGTCCTGATATCTAGCTGGATATGAATTGGTCGGAGGTACAAGAGAAGGCCGAGATCGCAGTTAATCTGTGGTCTCGGAGGAATCTTTCCTTGAAGGAGAGGGCGAAAGTATGTGTTTCACACGTCTACCCTATTCTCCTTTACCAACTCTCTGTACTTCCACTTCAGTATACCACACTAATTAAGTGTAAGGCTCTAGTTCTCTTTCTTGTTGAGAGACAAGGCCGCTATGGCATCTCAGGAGATCTGTAGCCTTCATCCATCTGAAGGCGGTCTAGGTATGCCTAGCATTGAGATTCATCAATATATGCTTCGCATCGCCTTCTTAGACCGAATGTGTCGCGAATCGGATGAGGAAGGCGCCTTCTGGGAGGAAGACGGCTGTAAGAACTTCCCATCCCTGAGAAGTGTGCACTCGAGTGAGGAGGAAGCCGGCCGTACACCCCGAGCCGAATGCTTCTTCTACGGCGAATGTCGTCGTGCTATGAAACGCTTATGGGCGTCGGATGGCCTCTCCAACGTACAGGCGTTGTCTCGTAGGGCATTATATCAAGTGTTAGTCAGGGATCCGTTCGTGATGATTTGATTGGCGAGGAAGCAGGAAGGCTCGCTCAATATGGCCTTGGGCGCCTGGGTTGAAATGCCCCAATAACGATGAGGTATCACTCACCTGGCTGGTGATTCGTGGGGCCCTCTGGGGCTTGGAGAAATCTCCAAACTGCCGACGCTGTAGTGGGGAAGTTGAGACCTTGGGTCACGCCTTCTTTCATTGCAGGGTGGTAGCGCCGTTGTGCAAGTTTGTTGAAGGCCTCATGGCCCGCATGCTGCGTAGAAAGTTCTTTGTCCTTGAGGCCAGTTCTGTTTTTAACAATGTGGTGCCGCCGATGTCGAAGGCTGAACACTATGTGTTCTTGTGATTACTAGGTGTTATGAGAGTCGTGATTTGGACGACGCGTCACAAGGGATTCTATGGAGGCGAGAAGTTCACTTAAAAGTCAAGATTAGAACGGAAAAATGGCGGCTCACTTCATCAGAATTTGGCAAAAGGTGGGTGAATCTTGCGCGTTTGTGTCGAGTAAAAGGGGTTGACCTAAAGTGGCATTTTGATGCCGGTTAGGCATCAGGATATTGTTTTTCCTGTGTTGAACTTTGGCAACCCATCCCTGTAATTAGGATAGTTTGGGTTTTGTATTTGAATCATTAGTTTCCTTATTTCCAGATAGCTTAGCTAGGTTGTGTATGCTCATTGGCCCCTTTTTTCTGTCCCTATTTTTCTTTAAGTTTAATTCCCCATCTCGTTAGGTGGTCAGTGATGTCAGTTCTCTGGTGGATGCGGGCGCCTTTCGTTTTCGCTTGTGTATTTTCGTATTTGTTGTTGTGTCTGAATGAGTACGTGTCTGTGTGAGTGCTTGGGATGAATGAATGTTTTATATTATTATAATCCCGCATTGATTTCGTCCAGTTAACTGATGTTTCTGCCATATTAAAGGGTTTGTGGTTTTTTTTATTACTAACATTATTTTGTTTAGTTTCATGTAAGTACTTTGTATTAACATTGTAAATGGGGCTAGTTTTTAAATTGTTTTATTTCTACCACTACCATCCCCCTCACACACAAAGACAATGAATTGTACATATGGGGTCTATTTAGGATTTTCCTAGAGACAACGAGATATTATGGTGGATGTAGTAAGAAAGGTAAGTAAGAATATGTTATTCTGGTGCTAAGAATATTGTTTGTATGTCTGGATCAGTATTTGTGGCTAGCTAAGTTTAAAGTTAAGACAGATGAAGACCGTCCGTTTCCCCACTCCCTTGTGCCACAGTTTTTATTTTGTTACAAATAAATATGCCAGTTGGAGATTCGCCTCCAACTATGCTGGTCAAACTCTCTGCCTCCTGCCAGAGAAGATCCCTAGATTAGGCTATGTCAAAGGGCAGAGTCTCGTCTCGGGAAACAGCTACCCGACCCAGTTTTATACGGAATCTACGGGGAATTTTTGGCCGAGCCTACGATCTCGGATACCCCACAATAAATTCGGCCTTGTGCCACATCTGACCGCGTGGGGCGGTTGGTAGATATCCTACAGTTGGAGATTCGTCTCCAGAAATGCTGGTCAAACTCTCTGCCTCCGGACAGAGAGGATCCCCAGATGAGGCTATGTCGAAGGACAGAGTCTCGTCTCGGGAAACAGCTACCCGACCTCGTTTTATACGGGGTCTACAGGGAATTTTTGGCCGAGCCTACGGGCTCGGGAACCCCACATTAAATTCGGCTTTGTTCCACATCTGACTGCATGGGACGGTTGGTAGATATCCTGCAGTTAGAGAGTCATTGTGGAATTCACTTGCCTCACTTCTAGCAGCTGACTACTTCTACGCGCCGCTGGCGAAACTTATGTGTTGTTCTTGTCCTAAGTATTATCGTTCATTACGAACCTTCGTTTGATTATTCTATTCAGTAACCTTACCTCGGTTACAAGAAGATAGGAAAGAAAAAAAAATTGCACAAGGGCTTTTTGTGCATATTCGACGCTGAGAGCAAAAATGGACCGGATAGCTAGTGAATATGTACACATGTATACCAACAATAAAAGTAGTTATCAGTTTTTTATAGGAAAAATCAGATTGTGAAGCTGAAGTTCGTTAACAGCTTCCTTAGAAGCATTTTCAGTTGCCCTCCAATAACAGATACTATGAACGTGAGTTATCTGATAGATATTGGTAGGATAGTAACTTGTTCCAAGCTCGAGATTGCAAAGGTTTGATACGATGGTAAGTTGCAGGATGGAATCCAAATATTAGAACAGAGGAAAAGAAACACGTGATAAAGTTTAAGGTTTCAGATTTAGGCGACCGTACATGATCAGGAACTGTAAAGAATTGCCGAGACTGTTTTGCTTTGTGTATAGGCATCTCCAATAATTCGCTAAAAATCAGTATAGCATAATGATAACAGGCCTCAAACTTAATAAAAACAAAGTTTTATCGTTAAAAATGTTTATGTTCTTATTAAGAGGAAAGAACAAAATATTTTTTAATTATTTAAAAAAAAATTTCCTTCTTTCTAACACGTTCTAAATTTGGGTCAAAAATTTTGTATTTCGTTTGTTTTTTGTTTTTTTTTTTTGTTTTGTTTTTTTGTTTTTTGTCAACTTGTGGTAATGGCTATTTTAGTGTAGTAGTTTCCGGGGGGCGACCATTAATTTGACTAGTTAGGAGCTACAGCCGTTGCCAGTCAAAAGGAACTGCGCTAAGTGTGCACGAGTGTGAAGACAGACGTTAATGTGAACCGCTATAAAGAAAAGGCATGTTAAAAAAAAAAAAAAACTGTGTTCCTGAACCAGTTGCAATTTAGATGGAGATCCATTGGAAATCGCAGTTTTAATAGCAGGAGTGCTCAACGAGACCTTTATAGAGCGAGGACCATTAAAGGCATCTTCATAGTATTTCGTTCGGAAACACTTCGAGAAATACTGAACAAATGAAAAGTCGGGTGTTACTTTTAAGGTTCTTATAGACCACACCAGAAACGGCATCATGGAGCGACATCATCGATCGATGAAAGCCATGAACTACAACGATTCGATGTTTTCTCTAATGTTACTTTCACGAGTCTTTCTCAGAAATTAAAAAAAAATTGTTTTTGTTCTAATAAATGGCACTTATATAACCATTTTTATTTTGCATTCCGCTGAAAAAATAAGTCACAATTCAGTTTTGGCCTTCCTAAAATCTAAGAATTTAGGAAGGCTATAAAATGGAATTATGACTTATTTTTGTAGGGAAGGTTTAAAAAAACAACTGAGAATGGTTCATAACAAAGAATTAAAAATAATTTTTCCTTTCCACCTACTCGGCGGATACACAAAAACAAAAGAAACAGACATTACTCTACTACTCTGTTGAAAGACAGTGAACACAAACATTTTTTATTCAAATCACATTTGCTTAAACGAACTAAAGCATTAATCTTTTTTACTCTATTCACAAGATATAAAAATATACAAATTTGTTTATTCTGCATGAATAACATTAAATATACAATGTTCTATTTTCTACTAACGTTCCTTATCGTGTTGTCTTTTCTTGAAATTTGCGTTGTATTTTGTGGGCAGGGTATCCCGTATTAAATTCTCCTTTTAATCCGGGTACGCTGTACCCCACAATATATAGATATATATATTGAATCTGGTTGATTTAACTAATACAGTCAGTGTCATTATATATACCTAAAAAATAAAAAAAAGTGATATCCAAGATTTAGGTGCCGCTTTCTTAAAAAAAAAAAAAAAAGAAAAAAATTAAAATAACAGAAAACGCATTGAAAGAAATATTAATTTACGTGTATAGATAAACTTTTTAGGTACTTTTAAATTATTCGCACGTTTTGTCGTCACTCATCGAATCGCCATTCTATACAAAAAATATAAATAAATTTAAAATTATTCTAAAAATACATTGTCCTGGTGTTTCGAAGTGTATTAGCAAATTTAAGACTTAGATTTTCTAAAAATTAATGCTTACCTTTTACTTAGAATGAAAATAACGTTTTAATTACTGTGAGGTCAAAGGAAAAATTAGAAACACTGTAATTCTAACCCTCCCTGTCCCCCTCCCCCAAAAAAAACCTTGCGAGAAAGTAAAAATAAAACCTAAAGAAATACAGAAGATTAGCAGTGTAATAATCAAGAATGTTATTTATGTTTTAAAAATAAAATTTTCTTTATAATAATTTTTTATTTTATTCTATACACTGACTTTTATAATGAATAAATTTAGAGATATTTATTAAGCGCTACCAAATTAAATATGTAATTTCCTTTGGGTTAATGAGAAAAAAAAAACATTTGTTCTAAAAGTAAATTTTAGAAAAAAATAAAGTAAAGTATTCTTATGCGAATGAAATAGTCACATCGTAATTTTGAGATTTTTTCTGGTGGCGAGGAGGAACAAATTATACAGGGAAAAGACAGTTTTACTTTTAGAATAAAAAAAAAAAAATTTCACGCTTAATTACTGACGTATCTGTGTAAATGAATGCAGAAAAACAGTCACGCGTGAAAAAGCAAAAAAAAAAAAAAAAAACGAGACACATACGTACGGATGTACCGGAAAGCAGTCCTTTAATGAGACATGAAACTAGATTAATTCATATCTTCCGATATTGAATAGTAGTCAATCTAAGCGAGATATCAGAATTGTCATTTTTATACATCCATAAGAAAAATAATCTAACTGTTGCTAAAAGGAAAATGGTAATTTGTTTTTAAACAGGTTCACACTCTGATGTGGGGCCAAAGTTGAGACCACAGAAGTAAAACACGGAACACGGATAGATGTAAGAAAGATATATTAACAACAGGTTACAGAGATAGTGTCAAGCGGAGCTTACTATAAGTTAGTGTCCAACACTGGTAGTCGTACTCACTCTGTATTTCTCTCTGTAGAGTGCTATGTCGCCTACTTAATATAGGCCTGGAAGAGTATTGTGTAGGTAGTTTCCGGTCTCACAATACCCACCTTCCAAAGAGTTTTCTTTTTGAAAAGGAGAGAAAAAAATAAAACTCAATACTTTTTCCTCTTGGGATTTACGTCGAGCAGTTGAGTAAATTTCCTTTTCCTTCCTGAGCGTCGCACTTCAGGAGAGACTTGGGGCGTGTCGAGATCGAACTAGAGATCTTGATGCGTGAGCCACAGCTTTTCTCGAACCATCTGGCAGTTTCTGTAAAATGCAAGCGCCTATGCCGTACGAGCTTGCATCACTTGTGACTATGATGTCGAGACTAGGGTCGTAATGGGTGAGGGAGAGGTCTGAAGTAAGAGTTTTCTTGATCTACTCAAATGCGTCTTGGCATTCCGGGGTCCATGACCATGGTTTGTCCTTTTTTAAAAGTTGGTTGAGAGGCCCTCTCAAATTTTGCATGTTCTTAATGAACCCTTGGTAAAAGTTAGCTAGGCCGAGGAAGCTTTGTAACGCTTGAACGTTATCTGGGGCCGGCATGTTTCTGATCGCGTTGGCTCGTATTTGATTGGACTTCTTTTTTACGTAGACCGTAGGTGCTGCCCACTCGCTGAAATCTATTTTTGACAGAATACCTGCTTGTTCGAGTCTATCTAACTCTTTGTTTATTTGTTCTCGAGCAGCGAAAGGGACATTCAGTTTCTTTTTGAATACCGGTTTTGCACCGTCCTTCACCTTGATCTTAGCTTTTATTTTAGTACATTTCCCAAGGTCGCCAGAAAAAACCTGGGGAAATTGTTGTTTGAGTTCCTTTTTTAGATTTACCAAATTGGACGTTGTACTTTGTATCTTGCGACAAAATGTACTCATTGGGCAATCCCAAAGATTGAATTTTTCTATCCAATCAGTTCCAAATAAATTGTCTGAAGTTTTTAATACGTAGGCTTTGAGCTTTTTGGTAACTCCATTTAGTGTTACTGTAAGTATTACCTCGCCTAAAATGTTAATCTTTTCGCCAGTTACGAATTTTGCTGTTTTATCCGTTTTTAATAAGGTCGGCTTGTTTAATTTTCGTGTGTGCGTTTCTAGAATCCTCGTCGCCACTGATGTGGGGCCAAAGTTGGGACCACAGAAGTAAAACACGGAACACGGATTAGATGTAAGAAAGATATATTAATAACAGGTTACAGAGATAGTGTAAGTGGAGCTTACTATAAGTTAGTGTCCAACACTGGTAGTCGTACTAGACTCTCACTGTCACTCGAGATATCAGAATTGTCATTTTTATACATCCATAAGAAAAATAATCTAACTGTTGCTAAAAGGAAAATGGTAATTTGTTTTTAAACAGGTTCACACTCTGATGTGGGGCCAAAGTTGGGACCACAAAAGTAAAACACGGAACACGGATTAGATGTAAGAAAGATATATTAACAACAGGTTACAGAGATAGTGTCAAGCGGAGCTTACTATAAGTTAGTGTCCAACACTGGTAGTCGTACTAGACTCTCTCTGTAGAGAGCTTTGTCGCCTACTTAATATAGGCCTGGAAGAGTCTATTGTGTAGGTAGTTTCCGGTCTCACAATACACTCGAAAATGACAAAGTTTCCATTTTTATTCTTCAAAAATTTTTTTATTTAATAAAAGTAACTCTTGTGACGAACAACAATGGGATCAATTTCAAAATCGTACTGTAAAATAACAAGTAATTTTTAAAAAATAAATTAACTATATATTTACAGCACACTATTTACACATTTTACATCGTTCGAACTGTTCTTATCTTTATTGTCATACTAGCAGCATGGCTCGGCGTTGCCCGTGCTTGATTCAAAAATCGTACGACTCATACAGCAATCGCTATCGCTTGACTTAAAATATTTTTGCCCTTCATTGCCTTTAAAGGAGTGCCCTTTGCCGTGCTGATGTCGCTACATGCCTTACTTCTTGCCTATCTCACACTGCGAATTTTTTCTAAGCTCTATTAAATCTGTTACGAAAAAAGAACTAAGCAAAATGAACACAAAACGATCAGCTTTAAAAAAGGACTCATAACTGGAAAAACCGAATGAAAAAAGAATGTTAACAACAAATACTTTTTCACACCCAACCCA